CCCACACCCACACCCACACCCACACCCACACCCACCCACACCCACACCCACACCCACACCCACACCCTCAAGATAACGTTACAGTGGAAGAATGATTGTAAATTTGAAGAAGTTTGTGCGGAATATATAACGCACTATTGAGTGTGAAGTGACGGTGAGGAATAAATGGTGAGCTAATAGACGAAATAGGAGTCGAAACTTTAGCTGTACGATTAGTATGAGGAGGAAGATGTAAAGATTTGGATAAAGTAAGTGGAATGAATTGAGGTGAATAATTTGGATCAATGTTCATATAGTATCGACGAACTTTGATCTCGATAGAAATCAATTGATATTTTGTGTCGATTGTAAGATTGTAACGGGTAATGTAATCCATTCCGAGAATAATATCGGTGCATAAATTTTGAGCGACATATGCTTGAATTGTAGTGAGTTGATTTGTAAATAATATTGATAAATCAACAGTACCTAATACATGAAAGGGTGCTAGACCATCGGCTAAAACGAATGAATGAGTTGATTTTTTGACGAAGTTATGATGTTGAAGTTTCAATAATGATTTGTGGTTAATGAAGGTTTTAGTTGCTCCAGTGTCCACTAGGAGTTGTAATCTTTGATTATTGACTAAAGTTGTTATGAAAATTAAGGAAAGTTTTGATGGATTTGTTTTACGATATCTGGAGGCAACACCATCATTCGATGTCTCCGGTGCTAGAAATTTGAGCCTGCCATAGCCTGATGCCCAAATTGATTGCAGCGAGTACAATTATCAATAGAAATAGGTAATTGTTGTAACGCGGGTTGTGTTGAACCATCTAATGTAATTAAACTATTGACATTATTTTGTCGTGGGTTATTACGAGATGAGATGATTGAACGTTGTTGAGTATGTGTTTGTTTATTAGTATTAGAATAATTATGGAATGTTTGTGGTTGATTCGGACAAACTCGTTGTGGAGTAAACTTTTGTGGAAATTGTGATGGTATATGCGGTTTTGTCGATGGATATTGTGACGGACGTGATTGTAATGATGAGTTATATGTAGGTGATGTATATAGTGAACTAAAATTATTTTTATTATAGTTAATACGATAGTTATTATCAAATGTGTTCCAATGTCGTGGCTGAGACATATTTGGAAAAGAATTAGAATAATTATTAACCATGGATGGAATCATAGGAGATGGTGATGTAGTTGATGCAGTACTAATGTTGGTATTAATAGTAGTATTAAGTTGAGTATTCGTACTATGATTTGATAATTGATAAAGTTCTTCAGTTTCTTTAGCATATTCAAGAAATTCTTTTGCAGTTGTTGGCTTTTTCCTTCGGACTTCAAATTGAATAGTTGGTTTAGTTTTATTAAGAAGATTTCGTAATTTTGTAGATTCGCTCATTGTTGAATCTGCTTCATTACAAAGTTTGAGTCCTTCATTATAGAAATTGCGAATCGATTGATTTTCTCCTTGAGTGTATGATTCTAGTTTCTTGAATGCCAATTCTTCATGATAAGCTGAAGTAAATGCCTTTTTGAATTCGTATACAAATGGTGTCCAAGTAGTTAATATATTTTTATTATTTTTAAACCATCGAAGCGCTTCTCCTCGGAGCGAATACGATATTAAATCTAATTTATTTGTGTCGGGAATATGTGCTATATCGAATAGATGTTCAATATCTTCTAACCATTGCATAACATCATCTTTTCCACCTTGAAACGTCTTTGGATTTTTGATTAAACTTTCAAGTAATACTTTACGAAGTACATTTGTTGTATCATCGGGATTAGATGTATTACTAGTATTAGGATTAGAATTACTACAAACTAAAGTTGAGTGTGAGACTAGTGACTCGCCACTTAAAGTAGCGGCACTACAATCATTCAACGCCGTTGAATGATGTTTTGGTGGTTTTTCGGGAAAATGAGGGTTGTCGAAAGTTGTCATCATTGACGGTGAATTTTTTTCTTCAGATGATTTTGTTTGATGATTTAAATTAGATTGGGATAAAAGATTTTGTTGTTGGTGAGTAATTGTTGACAGAGAATCATCTTTGTCGAAATGTGACAATAAAGTTTCGTAGAAATCATCAAATGATTGTATATGTCGTCTATTTTTAATATAGACTTTTCGTGCTTGTCCTTCGACCAATAATGGAATAACTGAAAAACGTAAATGTCGTGGAATTTGTAATCGATTAAATTTTTTCTCGATATCATTCAACCAAACATTTACATCTTGTTCACCAGAAAACTGTGTAAAATTTTCGAGAATAAATGAATCAAAATTATGTTCACCTTCATTTTCTTCCTGTTCCTTATTATCTTCTACCTTATCATTCGGTAGAGTATCATTGTTATCATGATCGGTATTCACTGGTGTTGTTACAGATGGAACGATGTTTGATTGAGTTAGTTTTTCAGTTTCAATTAACGAATAATTTTTATTTGGTAATTTATCTTGTTCACTATCCATTTTGAATAGCTTTTGGGTTTTTATCGGTAAATGAGATAAAGGTATAATTGATTTTCGACGATTTTTATTCAATAAATTCACTGACTTGAAAGGTTGGCTTCCTTGTGTATTTATCGGTAGATATAATGACGATTTTGTTAAATTGAAAATATGATCGTCATTATTCATTTAAAGATATATATGATCGCGATACGTATAATATAATATAGGGTAAACGTACGTGTACATATATATATATATAATTTTTGACGAATAATAAAAAAGAAATAGGTTGAGCAGACAAAAAACTGCCCAACTTCTCCACCAATTGTTAGGCTCTCGCGTGAGAAAGAATGTGACTTCGGCCCTGGGCTATACCTCAAGGCGGAATACTATGTCCGGAAGCCCCAGGTCTGCACTGGGAACGAGAGCACAAACGTAACAAGAATGAAACAAAACTTACCTAGTCTTGGCAGGATCAATGAGAATAATGTAAGGGGATGTATCTATGGTTTTATTGTAAATAAAACCAAAAGGAAAATATAATGATAAGGGGGATGAAAGACATGAAAGGGAAAAAGACAAGAAGATCAATGATGAGATCAACAAGAAAGAAAGAGCGACATGGAACAAAAGATGAAAAGAAGTGAATCACCAAAGAAGAAGAAAAACAGGGGAGGAATAATCACTGGGTAGTCCATAGAAGATATATATATGTACATATATGGAGGAAAGGAAAGGACTACTAATATAACTGAACGTTAGCGGTAATAGAGAGACCTCTATTGACGCTAACACCATTCGATCGTAAAGATGATATCATTTAATAATAAGATTCAGTTTTGTATTAAAATTTGAAGGTAACAATTGAACTTTTATAATTGATAACAGAGAACAATCTGATTGTCAAATTGTAAATGACTAACAATTATTTAAAAATTAAAAATAAAATATTCTATTCAATTAAATATATTATTATACTTGATAATTACTAAGTTTAATGATATTTAAATTCTGCTTTAATAATAGATTTATGTTTCTGTTGTTGGATGAAAACAAAGGATCGATGTATATTAACATTTGATATC